GCCGAGATCGGGGCCCCGTCGGGCCGGGGGCTGCCCAGACCCCGACTGACTCCAGGGGCCTGGTTCTCAATCACGTTCGGGTTCCTCTGGGGTGGGATCAGCCCCTGAGAGTCCCCTCCACGCAGGGCCTCCCCAGCTGGTGCACAGGCTCTGCTCCCAGCCCCAGCATAGGGGTGGATCGGGGGGTGGCCGGAGCACACTGCGAAGTGGCTATTTCCTGCCCTCCAGGGCCCATGGGGCAGAGCGTGAATTAGAGCAGCCCTGGGGCTGGGCAGGTTCCCACCATGCAGAGTGCAAAGGGTTAAAGCGACGTTAACCCCTCCCCCTGCAGAGTGGGGGAGCTGAGACCCCGTGGGCCTGTCCTGTCCAAAAGTTCCCTCCTCCAAAGCAGGATGAGCTGGTGGAACTCACTGCCACTAGGTCTCTTTGGTGCCGGGAGCTGAGCCCAGCTGGACTTTGGGGCAGAGAATGAGACAGAAACCGAGCGGAGGATCTGGGCTGGGCTAAAGGCCCTCATGCTCCAGGGCGTGAACTAACCAGTAACGCCCAGGCACTGGTGGGCAGGTTATCCCGTCTGTGTCTAGTAGGGGAAGTCCCTTGTGCCTTCCTCGGAAGCGGCCGCGGCAGACGGGATACTGGGGTAGATGGGCCCCTGCTCTGACCCCGTCTGGCTATTGCTACGTCCTGAATTCTTTTATTGCCCAAGTCCCCTCCGAATCAGCTGTTCCCAGCTGCCGCCCTGCTCCAAATCCCGTTGCTGCCCCCGGGAGCGGTTTGCCCAGGGGGACGCGTCTGGTTCTGCCGCTGAAGCTGTGTCCTGGCCCCGAGCGTCTTATCTCCAAGTGGTGAAATGTCCCAGCCCTGCCCTGGGGCCGTGTCTCAGCGCGGAACTTCCCGCCTGTAATTACAGCCCGGGCCTGCCTCACTCGGCTGCTGGCTGCACGGGATGGGTACGAGCCCTGGGGGCTCAGCCTTGGGAGGGGCGGCTTTCCACAGAAGCAAAGGGGATCCCCCCCCGACTCCATCATCCGGCCCTGGCAGGCGGGCGGGCGCTTTCTGGCTTTCAATAGCAGGGAAGCATTTGCCAAGTCGGAGCTGTATGCCAGCGTCTGTGCTTCCAAGGAAGGGCCTAGGGACATTGTTGATTTGTGATGTGAGCGCCCAGAAGCCTCAACCCCAACCAGGGCCCCGTCGGGCCGGGCGCGGCCCAGACCCCGGCCGAGATCGGGGCTCCGTCGGGCCGGGCGCTGCCCAGACCCCGGCCCAGATCGGGGCCCCGTCGGGCCGGGGATGGGGGGCAGAGGAGGGATCGGCCTGGCCTGTGCGCTCTGCAGGGGGCTGGGGGAGCTGCGAGGGGCGAGCTGGGGCGGGGGGCAGAGACCGGGTCGGCACAACTTCAGCATCTCCGGGCGAGGCAGTGGGTCCGGGGGCCAGGACTCCTGGGTTCTGCCTCTGGCCGGGCTGGGACTCCGCACCGAGTCCTGGGAAGGCAGAGATTCCTTAGGATGAGGATCCGTGGGAGGGGAGTGGGGTCTAGGGGTTAGAGCAGGGGGGCTGGGACCCAGGATTCCTGGGTCCTATCCCTGGCTCTGCCACAGATTCGCTGGGGGATCTTGGGCAGGTCACGTCTCCTGGTCTGTGCCTCAGTTTCCCACCAGTGCCTGTGAAATTGGGGCTTGAATACTTACCCTGAAGCAGCTGGGGATCTCGTGGGGCACAGGCCAGCTGTTCTCAGTGGGCGCTGGGGCCCGTGGCCAGTTCTGCCGTGGAAAAGGCAGGGGTCAGACCTCAAATCCGCCCAGCCAGGCCCTGTCGGTTCTCTCTGGCGCTGAGCGTGGCCCGTCCCCCTGTCCCTCTGGGGGGAAAGCGAGGATCAGATGGGGAAAGGCGCTCACCTAGCCAGCCACTCAGCGGCAGGGCTGGGAAGAGAACCCAGGCGTCCTGGCTCCCAGTCTCCCAGCTGTAACTCCTGGGTTCTCTCCCCCGCTCCGGCCTGCTCAGCCCCGCTGTCCGGTCAGGCCCTCACCCCGGCTGCGAGTGTCGGTCGGTTCCTCCTCCGGCTCCGCGGCTTCCTCCTTCGCTTGGCCGTGCTCTGCATCCCTTCCTTCTTCGCATTCGTTCTTTCCATCCCTTCCTTCTTCCGGCTTCGCATTCGTTCTTTCCATCCCTTCCTTCTGGCCGCCGGTTCCTCCTTTTCCTTCCCTCGGTTCCTCCTTCCCCCCCCCCCCCCCGGTTCCTCGTCACCCCCCCCCGCCGGTCCCCCCCCCCCCCCCCCGCGCCTTCCCGGCCTGTCAGCCCCAACCAGGGCAGGACG